TTGCTAAAATGATATGGATCCCATTTTAGTTAAAAAGGAGAAAGAGCTACTGATTTAATTAGGCCTTACATAGAGATTTATCTAGCCCTATGTCTAACCAAGCAAGAGGAGGACATGATTGTTTCGTAAACTTTACTAATATTAGATCATGTTTTGGTTATGTAAACGAGATAAAAATCTAAACTATTTGAAAAGTTCAAAGAATTTTGATTTAAATTCAAGAAACAAACTAGCAAAAATATAAAGGCATTTTGATTATATTGAGATAATGAATACTTAAGCAATAAATTTTTAGATCACTTAAAAGAGAATGGGATTCTCTATCAATGGACTTCAATTTGGAGCACCATAATTACATGGTGTCTCGAAAAGGAGGAATAGGATGCTATTAGACATGGTTCGATCCGTGATGAATCGAACTAATATCCCTATTTTATTTTGGGATATGCACTCTTGACTACAATCTTTATTTTGAATAGAGTTCCAATAAAGTCTATTGATCGGACTTCATATGAGGTATGAAAAAGAAATACGATTTAGGACTATAAAGCATATGTCAAGCTTTTAGATGGAGATAAGCTAGAGCCAAATCAATGAAGTGTAAATTTATGGAATATCTAAAAGAAAAAAATGGATATTGATTTTTCTACCATTAGAACAAAATGTTGTTCATGACTAGGCATGTTATATTCCTCGGGAAGGAAATTATAGATGCTAGAAATGATGGGAGAAAGGTTGAAATCAAGAGATTCAAGTAGACTCATAAATTGACACTAAAGTAATTGAACCCCAAGTGAAAAGGTTATAAAGTGCTGTAACTACCCATAAATAAATACATAAGAACTTCATAAATCTAAAATGAGTTTGTCAAGAGTCAAAAAGATATGATCTTCTTGTCTTAGCATATGGTGATGTGTACCTTAAAGAGAATGACGACGCTAATGCCTATGAAGTGGCAATGTTAGACATTGACTCCTAAAACTATCAAGTGGATGACAAAACCATCCTTCATCATGGAAAATTGAATAAAGATGTGTAGAAAACACACCACGATGGTTTTGTTACTAAAGAACTTGCAAATAAGATTTATAAATTAAAATAGTCATTTATGGACTTGAGCATGTTTGTAGGAATGAGAATCACTATTTTGGTGAAATAATCAAAGAGTTTGACGTTTTTACTAAAACAAAGATGAACCTTATGTATATAAAAGGTTAGTGGGAGCTTACTAGTATTGGTTATTCTATATGAAGACAAATAAAGTATTTCTCGACTATAACATTATTGTTTTGTAGTCTATAAAATATTAGGTATTCAAAAATTTCTCTATGTATGACATAAGATAGCAATCTACATTCTAGGATTAGAGATTTATAGAGACAAATCACATAAAATGTTAGGTCTCTTCTAAGGTTGGTACATTGACATGATACTAAAACGTTTAGTATACAAGAATCAAAGAAATGATTTTTTCCAATATCACATGGCTTGATGGTGGACATAAAGGATCCATAGCTTAAGCTAAGGAACCCGAGTCTCATTAACTATCTAAGCATATACTACGATGCTACCACCTAATTAGAGAGATTATCAATCATGATAATATAAGAATAGAACAAGTCTACACTAATGACAACTAAGTTGACCTTTGACTAAGCCTCTATCGCAACCGAAACATGAAGCCTTTGTTCAATCATTGGGCATAAGGGACATGGTTGGTTGGCTCTAATGTAAGTGGGAGATTGTTGGTGTAGGTGCCGAAGATTCAACCCTTTTTGGATGGTTTGACTTATTATAATATTGTATTCTTTATTTAATTACTAAAAGAAGTCTTTCTATTAATTCTTATTGTTTATATTTTGATAGAATTAGATAAAAGTCCATATGATATAGATTGCATTAATAATTAGTCGAAAGATGTAAGACCAATGTTAATGCACTTAAATGATATCATTAAATGTCCTAATTCGTAGTATTGAACGGAATAGACATTGATTATATATAGTAAGACTTGTGAGTGCTACGCTCATACTATAAGATAGTAGTAGGAGATCTCACACCTATTAGCATGGTGATGCCAAAGCAAGCACTTAAGTGATTAATGTTAGAGAATATATCATTGTATGTGACTCGTTGTGGAAACCCATCTAATTTAATCTCTAGGAACCTCATACACTCATTTTGATGGGCTCGATCAAGAGCTGCATATGGGTGATTTGTTAGGTGAACTAGGAATTTAATTGAGATAAGTGGATGACTAAAATAGGACTTGTCATTCTTTATATGCTAAATAAGTTATCACATTGGACTTTGATGAATGTACGCTTAAAGAATCTATAGCCATAGTGGGAGTATATTAATAGAGAATAGTTGGTTTACTCTAGAGCTAAGACATTTGGGAATTAAAGAAAACTTCGTAATGAAAATTGAAAAACTATAAACCAAGTTCAAGATCGAACTATGATAAATTGATGTGAGGACTAAATTATATGATAACCATGCCCATAAAAGGTAATTATGGATGAATTAATCGTTATAAAGAATTTGATAGTCATGATGCCTTGCTAGTTACCAATCTTGATTTACATTTTACGAGATAAAAGAGATATCTTTTATTTTTGATACATTGCCACTATATCTAGGAGCCTATTAAGTCATATACATAAGTTTAAGCATTCACATAATAAACGCAAATCAAGGATTTCTGAAAATGTTTCTAGTTTAAAAAGTTTTCTATTTTGTAAAAGGGTTCCTAAAATGCAAAGTTTCCTACTTTGGAAATTTTTTTTCTTATTTTGGAATGTTTCTTTTTTTGAAATAAGTTTTTCAAAATGAAAAGTTTCCTATTTTAGAAATTAGTAACCCTTTTTCCTTGAAGGACAAGGATGTCACCCCATATAAATAATTGGCGAGAGAAGCGACAAGGAGGTGGAATAACAAGAAAGATACACATGGAAAAAAGAAAACAATTCTCTCCTAAAAAAGCTTGAGTTGTTGTATCCTCGCTTAAAAGCTAAAGTTACCATAAAAAACCTTGACTGATTTCTTTAGAAAGGAAATCAACTATACAAAATTTTTGTGGTTACTTAAGCTATATTAATTATCGATAGAGGTAAGAAACTTGGATGGCTCCTTTATATAAAGGCTAATTCTACACTACAAGCGGTAAATTTTTACTCATGCATTTAATTCATGTATATATGATTATTTAAGGCAATAGCTTGATCTTTGGAGCCTTAGATGAAGAAAAAATTTTGTTTTATTTCATACCTCCACATGATCTATGATCCTTCACCTACATCTCCTTCTCTCTCCCTCCCTTTATCTCTCTACCTCTCTCTCTCTCTCTATATCCTCTTCTATCCCCCTCTCTTTCTCCTTCCCTTCTCTTTTTTTTCTCTCCCTTTTTCTCTTTGGCTCCATCTCCCCCTTTTATTTACCCCTCTCCCTCTCTCATTCCCTCTCTCTCTCCCCCTCTCTACCTCTTCCTCTCTCCCTCTCTTCCCTTTTCTCTCTCTCCTACCTCTCTCCTCACCCTCCCTATCTCTCCCTCACCTCTCCCCATCTCCCTCTTCCTCCCTTCCTCTCACTCTCTCTCCCTCACTTTCTCTACCCTTTTCTTACCCTCTCTCCCTTCCTTCCTCTCCCTCTCTCTCTCTCTCCCCCTCCCTCCTTACCTCTCTCTTCTCTCCCTCTCATCCCCTCCCTCCTTGCCTTTCTCCTCTCTCTCTCTCTCACCTTTTCTCTCCCCCTCTCTCTCATTCATTCTCTCTCCATCTCTCCATGACTTCTTATCTCTATATCTCTTCCTCTCTCTCTCCTTTTCCCCCTCTCTCCTTCCCTCCCTCTCTTTCCCTCCCTCTCCTTCTCCCTCTATCCCTTCCTCTTCCTCTCCCCCTCCTTCTCTCTTTCTCTCTCTAATTCTCTTCCTTTCTCTCCCCTTTTTATGTCGGTCTCCTTCTATCTCCATCTCTCGCTCCCCTCTCCTCGCTCTTTTTTCTTTCTCTCCCTCTCCTTCCCACTCTCCCTTTCTTCTTCCCTTTCTCCCTCTGTCCCACTCTATCCCTCTCCCCCTCGATCTCTCCCTTGTGAGGAAAACCATGAGTCAAAAGTCATTGTTTCCTATATACAACTTTTATATAAAGTTGTGTCTAACCCTTTGAAATTCATAGAAAAAAAGAAATCTAATTCTTTTGTCAAAAGTATAACGACACTATATCACTTAAAAACTTTAGTAATTCTACTTCTATCTCGATTTCCTAACAAATTTGGTATCGGAACCATGTCGATCGGTAATTCGTGCTCTGCTAGAACCATGTTCAATTATTCCCAAAGCCAAGTACCCATTTTTTAAGGAGAAAACTATGGGTATTGGGTCGATCGGATGCGTTGCTTCTTCATTGCACGAGACTTGTAGGAGATTGTTGAAGAAGGATATGATGATTCTTTATAAGCAAATGATGATTCATCCTCTACATGCGAAGTATAGAGACCTCATCTTAGGTTTCTATTTAGAACAAAGAAAAGATCAAGAACAAAGCCCTTGCCTTAAGTTACCTCCATCAAGGAATCGAGCAAGACCATCTACCCATGGATTTTTGGCATTAGTAAAGCTAAAGATGCATGGGAAATTTTGAAGAAAGAATTTCAAGGGAATAATAAAGTTGTTTCTATTAGACTTCGTCACTTTGGAAAAATTTTGATTGCTTGATAATGAAAGAATCGAGAAAGCATCAAAGATTTTTTCTCCATGGTTACTAAAATTATAAATCAAATAAGAGATTATGGTGACTAGATTGAACAAAAGAAGATAGTGGAGAAGATTCTCGGAATTCTACCACCAAAATTTGATCATGTAGTTGTAGTAATTGAAGAATCAAAAGATCTCTCAATCCCGAGCATGTATGACCTTTGTGGTTCCTTAGAATCACATAAGGAAAGAATGAAGAGATCCTCGGGTGAGTCCTTAGAGTAGGTCTATCAATCAAAGGTCAATTTAGGATGGAAAATTCAAGAGAAGAGGGGAAACTTTCAACATCAAGATCGGTTTCAAAGGAGTCAAAATAACCGACCTCGAGGGCGTGGAAGAGACTAAGGCAAAGGCAAAAATATTCAACTTTAAAGAACAACCAATTAGGGACAGAATTGCACATATGCAAGAAGTCCAATCACACTTCATCCGAATGCTATTTAAGGTATAAAAGGTGTTCGATTCCAAATCATTCGAACCGAGACTTTTGGCACAAGAAGAATGAAAGTTTAGAAGCTAATTTCAGGTAAAGAGAATGATAAAGAACAAGTATTTTTAACTTGTCTCAATGCTAAAAGCAAAAAAGACTAGGTTTGGTACCAAGACAACGGTTGCATCAGCCATATGAGTTATTTATTAATATTGATGAAAATTTCTCAAATTCTGTCATTCTTGGTGATGGAAAATCCGAAAGAGTTGAAGAAAAAAGGAGTAATTGCGAGTTCGATCTAGATTTGGTGAGCAAAAGTTCATTCATGATGTTCTTTAAGTCCCAACTCTTGCTCATAATCTCTTAAGTGTTGGTAGTTGATTCGGAAAAGATATCGGGTGGTCTTTGAAGAAAATAAGTGTAGATTTATAGACAAGAAGAACCAGCTAATGGCTAAGGTCGAGATGACTCGTAATAAAATTTTTCCACTCTCCATCAACTATGTAAGACCAGGTAGCCTTGAAAGGTGAAATTTTAGACGAACCTCAACTGTGGCATCTTAGATATGGCCATTTAAATCATAAGGACTTGCAGCTACTTAAGGAAAAGGATATGGTTTATGGTCTTCCCTAAATAAATCAAATAGAAGGAGTTTGTGAAGGTTGTGTCTACGAGAAGATGCACCATCTTCTTTTTCAAAAGACTTCTTAGAGAGCCAAAGCTCCTTTGGAGCTTTTTCATGCGAATATATTTGGTCCCATAAGAACTCTATCACTTGGGAATAAAAGGTACTTCATTCTTTTTCTTGATGATTATACTATAATGGTGTGGTTGTATTTTATTTAATAAAATTAGATGCCTTCTCAAAATTTTTGGAATTCAAAGCCCTTGTTGAAAAATAAAGTTGGCTGAAAATGAAGACCTTAAGAACTTATCATGGAGGTGAATTCATGTATCAACCATTCATGGATTATTGCAAGAAAGAAGGCATTCAAAGGCAATTAATCATGAGTAGAAGCCCTTAGCAAAATGGAGTTGTTAAAAGAAAGATTAGAACCATTATTGAGATGGCTCGGAGCATGTTAAAAGGTAAGGAGCTTCCTAATTCTCTTTGGGATGAAGCTCGTACATACTACTGTTTACATCTTAAATAGGTCTCCAACAAAATCAATAAGGAATAGAACACCCTATAAAACTTAGAATGGGAGAAAGCCGGAAGTTAGTCATCTAAAAGTGCTTAGTTGTCCAACCTACTCACTCAACAAGGCTCCAAACAAAGATAAGTTCGATCAAAAGGGAGAGAAGCTTATGTTCATTGGGTATAACGATGAATATAAGGGCTACATATTGCTAAATCTTATTAATAACAAGCTGATAGTGGTAAGAGATGTCATCTTTGATGAAAGAGTAGTATGGCGAGTGGAATTCCGAGTAGCTAAAATTCATCAAATATTCAATATATTTTGCTCCAACTGAAGCATCAAGAACGGAATTAGTTGCTAAAACTCAAAATCCAACAACTTCGAAGTTGGAACTATAGCTCAAAGCTTAAGTTCGGGATCCGAAAGTGTAGATAATGAAAGGACTTCATCTTCTTCACCTATTCTAAGAAGATCTAATAGAGTTAGAAGACCACCAAAGATGTATGGTGATTTTAGAAGCTATTTCTCTAATGAAAATATAGATTTTTCTCTTTTCTCTTATGAGCCATAGACTTTTGAAGAAGCTATAAAGAATGAAAAATGGCAAAAGAAATTGGAAGAAGAAGCTGAGCATGATTTATAAGAACAATACTTCAAATCTTGTAGATCCTCCCAAAGGCAAAGACATTATTTATCTTAAATGGGTTTACAACATCAAGTACAATGAGGATGGTACCGAGTCAAAAGCACAAGGCCAAGTTAGTGGCCAAAGGCTATTCCTAACGACTTAGAGTAGATTTCAACGAGACTTTTGCACCAATTGTAAGAATTGAGACAATCCGACTTATTCTTGCAATTGCTGCCCAATTGGAGCTGAATGTGTATCAAATGGGTGTTAAATCATTTTTCCTTAATGAAGAACTGAAAGAGGAAGTTTATATGGAGCAACCACGTGGATATGAAGTCAAAGGCAAAGAAGAGATGGTGTACTAGCTGAACAAGGCATTGTATGGCCTCAAATAAGCTCCATGAGCTTGGAATAGTAAGATTGATTCTTACTTTTAGAATTCAATTTTTCAAAAACGTCCTCATGAACCAATACTTTATTTTATAAAGAATGAAGCTAATTTTATCGTAGTCTGCTTGTATGTTGATGATTTGATTTACTTTGGGAGCAATCATCATTTACTTGCTAATTTTAAGCACTCAATGATGAGGAACTTTGAGATGACGGACTTAGGAATCATGAAGCACTTCCTTGGGATACAAGTGAAGCAAGGAAGAGGGGAAATTTTCATTTCCCAAGAAAATTATGCAGTCGACATCTTGAAAAAATTCTATATGAAGGATTGTAAGGCCATAAGTACTCGCTATGGCTTTAAATGAAAAATTGAACTCTTATGATAGAGCTAAGAAGTTTGATGGAAATCGGTACAAGAGTCTAGTTAGATCTCTTATATACTTGACTCATACTAGATCGCATATCACTCAAGCTCGTTAGTATGTTGTCAAGATTCATACACGGCCCAAGTGTGCTTCATTATGCGAGTAGCAAAAGGGCACTAAGGTACCTAAAAGGCTTATTGTAACTTGGTTTGAAGTATGGCAAAGATTCCAAGTTCACTTTTTCTAGTTTTATCGATAGTGATTGGGCTAGATCTACTAATGATAGAAGAAGCACATCATCCTATATTTGTTGCCTTGGAAATAGCACCATCTCATGGTGTTCTAGAAAGCAAAAAGCTGTTGCTTTGTCATCTATAAAGGCTGAATATACTTCAGCAATAGAAGTTACTTATGAAGGAGTTTGGCTAAGGAAATTGCTTAATGATTTAGGACTCGAAGCGGGATGGTCCTATAACTATTTATTGTGACAATATGTCTATAATTTTCCTAACAAAAAAACTTAGTTTTTCATGCCACATCAAAGCATATCAAATTCGGACATCATTTTATTCGTGACCTTGTGCGAAAGAAGAGATACAACTAGAGTTCATCAGCACCAATGAATAACTAGAAGATATGCTCATATAACTTATTACTATTGAGAAGTTTTTGAAGTTCGGAGACATGTTAGGACTCACTTGTTTTAGAGGGAAATTTATGAGGAAAACCGTTACTCAAAAGTCATTGTTTAATTCCAAGGAGTTGGTTGTCATTCATTTAATTCTCTACTATTTTTTCTAGGCTTGTTTAATGTTTTTTGCTACGTCCCTAGAATGTTAAATTCTCTATGTTAGGGCATAGGAAAATCCTAGGGAATGTGTAGGAATACTTAATAAATTTAGATTAATTTTATTAGGTGCAAGGAATATGTTCTATAAGAAATAGTCTAATTTTCACACTAAATAATTAATTTATAGGCCTATATAAGGTCCAAAAATTATGAAAATTTAGATTGAATCCTCTTAATAAATTTTTGAATTTATTATAGAACGAAATTAAATTTTAAATAGTATAAAATAAAATTTTAGAGTTAAGGGGCTAATTTTATAGAAATTGAAGACTATATTGCATAAAATTTAAAGTTTGAACTTCTAAATCAAATTAGCTATTAATCTAAGGAGTTTGAAAGTTGTTACAATGTCTTTTAACGAAGGGATTGAAGTGATCAATTGACAAATTAAAGGATGGTGAAAGGAGTAATTAAGGAAAAAGATTAAGAAAATAAAGGACCAAATTAAAGAATTGTTTTTAGGCTTTTCTTTATGCTCTAGCCGAACTTTGGCTCCATGATTGAGCCACAATTAATGCAATTTGATTTAAATAAAAAGGAAAGGCTATTAGGCATGCAAGGTGGAGGGATTTGGTTTTAAAAAAAATTAAAAGCTTAAAATTGTCCAATTAGAGGGATAAGCTTTAACCAAAATTCAATGGCCAAGATCACTCCAAAACACCATAATTTCAATGGTTGAGATGGAGTCAAAAGACTTCAAAATAAAAATGCCTATAAATAGGCAAGAATGAAAATGGCGAGAAAAATCACCAAAAAAAATAAAAAATAAAAACCTAAAGGAAACTCTTGAAAAAATTCCCCTCGTAAAATCCCACCAAAGACTCACCGAAAACTTACTAAAATCACTTCTACACACCTTAAATCAACCTACTAAGTAAGGATATCAAGCTAAGAACTCAAGAAAAAATTCAAGGGAGAAAAAGGGAGGTTAGGCTGAATTTTGAGGAAAAAGGAGGAAGGAGAAATTTTCAAATTCTTCACCTTTTGAAGTTTAATTGGAGTATATTTAGATAAGTTAATCTCACCTACACCACAAGAATATTCAATTTCAAGTCAATTTCATGTTTAATTACTTGAATTTGCCTTAATTGCTAAATTAGAGAAAAATTAAGGTTAGGGCCCTTGGTGACCCAAATTTGGGAGAAATGATTTTGAACTCATAATTCATGTAATTAAGATGGAAAAAACCTAATTAGGCTTGAAAAGTTTGGTAAAAACTCAAAAATTCATAAGGTTAATTAAGGGTAACCATTCGCCTCGAACTAAAGAAATTTAAGATTGGAATTTCAAGCAATCCTATTCTATTTTGGTGAGTCATATACCCTTAAATAAGCATAGTTTGATGAGTAGAAGTGAAAAATTCTTCAAAAATTGAAGAAAATGGGTTTTATGGGCTTAGGCCCAATTTCGACCCATTAAGGCCCAATATGGGTTCGAACAAGATTTTGAGTCCAAATTTTCAATAAATTAATTCCTATAGTTTTTACATATCAAGGATACTTATTGTTAAAATAGTGGGACAAAATGAGGAGAAAATGTTAGGATTCTAAAGAGGTCAAGTTTAGGCCTAAATGGGAATTTTGGAGAATTAGGTTTAAACCAAGTTTTAAACCTTAAATTTGATGATTTAGACTCAA